AAAAAGTAACATAAAAACAAAAAAAAACAGATAACCAAAAAAAAATGTATTTAAACAAAAAAAAAAAAAAAATATTTTTTTTTAATAAAAAAAAAAAAAAAAAAAAAAAAAGATGACTTTAATGTTCTATATTTTGATTCTTATTTAATTGTAATTTAATAATAGTAAATCCAAAATTTAATAAAAAACAAACAAATAGAGTAGATTTTTAAAAATCAGAAAACAATAATCCCATCCAACCTTTTTCTTTTCTCAGTTTCTTCTTCAAGTTGATTTTTAACATGTATCAATTCTGTTTTGACTTGCTCAAAATGTTTATCTTTTTCGGCATGGTAGTGATGACTCTCATTTAGACGCTGCTCAGTTGACCTGAGGGCGCTGTCATATGTACTCAGCTCATCTTTAAGACTGGACACTTGGTGTTTCAGCTTAGGCACAGACTCTCTAGCCGAGTCTAACTCAACATTAAGCAAATTCAGCTGAAAAATATGTTTTATACAATACAGTAATATATTAAAATTTCTTATAAGGCAGAATATGGCTAAACAAGTTTTATATAATATAAAGAAAGAGAAAAATCTTTGGACTTTTAGAAAAGGATGAGGTCGAATCCAAGGTATGTGGTCACACTGAATTTTTGCCAAGAAATACTGTCTGTGTTTACTCAGAAGTTGCAAAGCGAAACATGGTATGCATTGAACTTTTTTTATTCTTTTTTGATATTGTATTTCAATGTTTGATGTACTTAATTGTACTTTTTTTTCTATTTTCTATAGATTTTATATTTTGTTTAGAAGGAAATATAATGCTAATAAATTATTGACTATTATCTTTATTATCATTATTATGATAAATAACCTTTTCTTGAGTGGAGTGAAGCTGATAGCCGGTATCTTCCAACTGACTTAATAGATTGTGATTTTGGGTGATCAACTGTGCATTCTCTTCTCTTTGCGCTTGTAGCTTAATTCGAAGGGCCTCGTTGTCAAAATCCTTCATCGGTAAAGAGCTCCGAGTTCCTAGTTTTGAGGTACCTGTACCCTACAAAAAGTAATTTCATTTGAAAAATATGTTGTTCATACATACATACATACAGTAGTGAGTCAAGTATTAGTCAAGTGACAACCAAGAATCCATCTATTTAGATATCAGCTAAAATGTATGACAGTACTTGGTGTACCTTATGTAATGAGAATGATGCCACACTTCCAATTGAGTCCAGGTGACCTGGAGGCTTTGACCTATAGCCTTTGGTCCTTGATATATAATCATTTCTTGAGTCTGGTGTCAGGTCCTCCAGGGTCAATGGTGGAAGAGGGTCATCCAAAGATTCTGAATTGCCACTTGTATATCTATACCTAAATGTAGATCATAATGGTTTATAAAAAAATATTGTAAAAGTACATAATGAAAATTCATCACACAAAATATTGGATAAGTAGAATTTTTTAAAGCATAGCAATGGTGAGTGCCATCTCTAGCCCGAGTTTATTATAGACGACATTTTATGCTTTAGTTTCTAGTTGTAATGTGTTATTTGGAGGCTGGAGATACATTAAAAACCTAAATTGCACAAAAAATATGTTTAAAGAGATTAATCTTATATCATTGGAGACACATCAAGACATAATTTAAAGCAAAATTAACGCAGACAGATTTTGTAGAAGCCTTAATTTTAATGTCAGACACATCTATGTTCCCTATCAAGTCTCTCTGGCTCCACTCTATATCTACATGTTGACACAATTTTAACCTAGGGGTTAGTAGACAAGCATCTTGAAACAATATACCTCAGATCCATGATGCATAGCCTCTAAATACTGGGAAAAAATGGAAAAATAGATGAATAAAACCAAACATTATGTAGATAACCTTTATTACAGAAAATTTACTAGAACAATTTTTCTTGTTTCTACAAGAAAGGAGACAGTTTCAGCAAAGTTGTATCTTTAACAGGTCCTAGGGGGTGTTTGCTAACTCGTACCCATGCCAACTCATACCATGCCTAATCTAGAACTATAATAGCGGATCTGACGAATGATTCCACCATTGCCGTGTCTTTACCTGTTCTCTCCCGGTTTGGAAGGTGTTTGGAGTCGGTGGAGATTCTTCTCTGTCTCCATCAATCTTTTACGAAGAGCGTTAACATTCTCCATTAGCTCATCATCCTCATCATTTTGTAACTTGGACATAATTCATTGATTGTATTCACTGCTGAAAGTAAACTTTAAATTGAATAAAAAAGTGAAAGAAAATTTATGAAAACATTACGTCATTAAGGTTAGGGTATTATTTTGTTAATTTTTAATAAAATTTTATCTGTTCAATTAAAAAAAAAATATTTTGTATATTTAAGATAACCAAACAGAGGAAATGCCAGCAAAAAATGAATGCACTGACTATTGTTGATAAATAATACACCAGTCTTAAAAAAAAGAATTCCTAATTCATAATAAATATATAATTTTAATTACGATTCTTAATACCTATAGCGAATGTTAAATAAATATTATTTATATAATATTAGAACGCAATAACGAATCATAATGAAAGTGGGCCCGATAGGACCCGACCGTCTTGGCTTGGGCTTGGTCGTCCTTGGCCTGATCGTCTGTCGTCACCTTAGTGTACGTTACGTTACAGCTAGGCCTAGCCTATCCTTTCCAAAAGCAAAGTTTGCATTATGTACTGCGTTTTGATTATAATTCATTTACCGAAGCATAGATCATACCTTAAGAGGTTAAAATACATACGAAAAAGCAATAATAGACCATTTGTTTAATATATCTCAAACACGAATCTTCTGTGTTTACAAATTGAATTCAAACCGCCCCCTAATTTTTCCGATGAGCAAAGTGTAAAGGTCAACATTTCGTTCAAGTGAATATTTTGATAAGTAATAAAAATGGTATTACGTTATTATAAGTTTTATTATAAATATATTGAAAATAAAATTAACTAATGATTATTTATTTGTCTTGAATAGCATGATTATTTGTAATAAATTAATGAACTGTTAATGTTTGATAACTGTAATCATTTCGTGTTCATGGCTGCTATGTCTTTTCCGATTCGGTTCAGCCCCCAGCCGATGCTATCCAAGTTGCCTGGGATAAAAACCCAGAAAATCTCAAAATGGTAAGAGATGAATGCAGAAATTACAATACGAATACTTAGAATAATGTATTTTCTTACGCTTTTCTGTCTTTGATACATGGTTCTTTATTTGATTACGATGGATTATGAGGATTTGTTATGTCCATATTTCTTTGGAATTGCCACTAGAAAAGTGCTTACGAATGGCTGCTAGATTGAACGTGTGGAAGTAGAACTTCAACTGATACGCCACGTTATACTGCATTATAAGTTATGGGAATTCGTAGATTAGATAGTTCAGCTTTGCTGTTTGCTTACATGTATTTATATATTACAATTAATATAGGGCTTAAGGAGATGATGCAATAATTCGCTCTAGGCTACCCAGACAGAGAATTATTAAATTGACAAATATTAAATAGTAAACTTTTTATTACATTCTAGGGCTAGGCCTAGACCCCTGGTTTCTGCCTGAAAAATATCTGTGCTGGAGGCACACACTGCACCCTGACAAATTTTTTTCTTAGGGGATACATCAAAGTGTACTCATCAAATTTGTGTGGAAAATCATTAGAAATATAGGTACGCAGATTTGTATAATTACTGCATTGCATAATTCATTGGTTTTATGTTGAGACATATCCCAAGCCAAGTCCTGATTTTCAGGAAAGAACACTGGAGTTTAGCAGTGCTCTAAATAAAGATATATACGGTTACGGTTGTTTGTGTCTTGTTGCAGTTGATGTGAATGATTTTTATTAATTATGGTGGCGCCCTTCGAGCCTTGGCAAATACAATACTAGGAAAAAAGGTCTTGGCCGTCAACATATTAAATTCAGGAAGTGCACGTCTTTGCAAAGTAAAACAAGTGGCTCAGCATTGTGAAGTTGACGCTGTAGAATGTATTCATGATGACAAAGCCATGTAAATGCTGGAATTACCGGCTGAAACACTTTGATTATAACGTGGCATCTGAGAAATACTTTTTGTCAAGAAATGTAATTTATTATGATTAGGCCAATAAAAACATGTTTTATAATTAATTTACTTTTTTTTGCTTAGGGGTTTGTCAAAGTGGTGAAGAATAAGGCCTATTTCAAAAGATACCAAGTGAAATTCAAGCGTAGGCGTCAAGGTAAAACTGACTACTTTGCTCGCAAACGCCTGGTTGTTCAAGACAAAAACAAGTACAATACCCCAAAATATCGTTTGATTGTACGATTCACCAACAAGGATATCACATGCCAGGTAAGCATTTAACTTTCAAATACATTTCTAAAACATGTTACAGGATAAAAACTTGCTTGTTCTAAAGAAAGTTATATATTGGTAAAAACAAATTACTTTTTTCCATTTTTAGATAGCGTACGCCAGAATCGTGGGAGACATCATCATAGCTTCAGCCTATGCTCATGAACTGCCCAAGTATGGCGTCAAGGTCGGGTTGACCAACTATGCCGCAGCTTATTGCACTGGACTTCTAATTGCAAGAAGGGTAAACCAATCATTATAATAATTATTATTAAAATATTAATAAATGGTTACAAGTATATGCTAATAATGCATGCATTGACAAGCTCTAAGCTTTACTGTAAGGAATATTTTTTACATTTGATGTACAGTATATGATGATTAAGCCAAAACTAGCTGGAATTACCGGATGATTTTCAGTGATTAGGAAACGGCATCTGATTATAGTACAAGGGTTAATGTTTTGTGAAATTTTTAATGCATTTAATTTTTTTTTTTTTAATTATGTTGGTGATTAAAGATAATTAGATTGCCTTTTGCAGATCCTCAACAAGTTTAAGCTAGACGAAATCTACAAAGGAGTGGACGAGGTTACAGGAGACGATTACTACGTAGAGAGCGAAGAGGGACAGCCTGGAGCTTTCCGTTGCTTCCTTGATGTAGGATTGGCAAGAACCACAACTGGAGCACGCGTGTTTGGAGCTTTGAAAGGAGCAGTCGATGGTGGCTTGGATATTCCCTACAGGTATTTGTTAAGTGGTTATATTTATTTAGATTTTTTCCCAGTAAAAAGAATGTTATGGTTTCTTTAAATACTTTCCGGACACTAGGCCTGTGTTTATTTCTTCTTAGGCCTTCAGCCCATACAGTAAAGAGTACAAGGTTTTTGTTACCTTTATTATAAAATATATAAGTTTATTTTTATTTTGGGACAACATGAAATTAATAAACTTAAGTGATCTTTGATGTGAAATAATTGGTGTTTGATGATGATTAAGCCATGTAAATGCTGGAATTACCGGCTGAAAAACTTTGATTATAACGTGGCCTCTGAAAAACACTTGAAATGTAACAGGAGTGACAACGTGTATGTTTGGAGGCTTATATTACGATTCTTTATTTAGTAGTTTTTGTTTTTTATTGTGTAAAAAGAACATTTTATATTCCATCCACCCAAAATTAAAATTTATTTTCCATAGGCCTAGTGAATTTCTTTGGCCGCTTCTGAATATAAACATGTTTGATTTTTTTGCCCCACCCCCTTTTTTTTTAAATTGTATTCTTTTTTTTTTTTTGCTGTTTTTATAATTATATTCGATGTTAATTTCTAATTATTTTCAAAGTTTGTTAAACTTTGGTGATTTCATGCCATTTTGAATGTTGACCTGATGTGATTCCAATGCAAAATGTAGAAATTGTCCATTTAATTGATCCTAAAATCTAATTTATAATTGTTGATCCACAGCAACAAGCGATTCCCCGGGTATGACCAGGAGACCAGCGAATTCAATGCAGATGTCCACCGCAAACACATCTTTGGTGGTCACGTTTCCGACTACATGAAAATGTTGGAGGAGGAAGATGAAGATGCATACAAACGCCAGTTTTCACGGTTCATCAAACTTGGCGTTACAGCTGATTCGGTAAGTGAATATTTTAACAAGAAGTAAGAATTTGAAATTTTTAAAAAAGTATGTAATTTTTAAAAGGAGGCTATTCAATAGATTGTTGATGAATAATTAATAGTATGCAAACTAATAAAAAGTGGCCAGAATTTTAAAAAGAGCTTTATCTACTATATAATGTAAATATGAATAATGGATAGGCTTTGTACACAACATGGTTACCAATTTTCAATAATTTATATATTTTTATTGTTCAGATGTTATTGTTGTACATTGCTACACTGAAGATGCTTTTATTTTTGTTTTTAAAAGAAAATAAGGTTAATTCATATTTCCTATTTTAAATATATATTTTCAATATGAATTTATATCATTTAATTTGACACTACAATAGAGAGTACATTATTTTTTTTTATGTGAAGAAAATCAAATTATTGAAATGAGTTGATATTGGTTTTTTTAAAAGTAGTATTGGTATTTTATGATGATTAAGCCATGTAAATGCTGGAATTACCGGCTGAAATACTTTGATTATAACGTGGCCTCTGAAAAATACTTCAAATAGTTGTGTAGTGGAGAAATAATGTAGTTGCACCTTTGTTTATTAGTTGTGCTGATTATTAGCTAATAAATATATAACTACAGTATATTTGAATTTTTTGTAACAGATGGAAGAAATGTACAAAAAGGCCCATGCAAACATCCGTGCCGACCCAGTACACAAATCCACAAGCAAACCATACGATGGAAAACCGAAACGGTATGTATAGCCATTTTATCACTTAAATAATCGTCCTACCTTGCATGCTACTTTTTATCAACTATTACTTGTATTAATACTTTATCCTGAAATGAATTATTGAAATGACATGATAAATATGTTTAAATATTAATAATTGGTATTTTATGATGATTAAGCCATGTAAATGCTGGAATTACCGGCTGAAACACTTTGATTATAACGTGGCGTCTGAAATGTACTTTCACAGTAAAAATGCAATGTACAACAAGGTATACGAAAAAGGTTGCACAGTGATAGTTTGTTCCAAATTCAGGTTGTTTTTTTTTTCTAGTAAATATTTAATGCTGGAATTAGTTCATATTACTCAATTTGCCATTATTCCTTTAAATGTCCATTTTTAAAGAATGATTTTATTCAGTTAACCAAACAATTAAATATGGCCTTTTTTTCCTTTTATGCAGATGGAACCGGGCAAAATTGTCAAAACAACAGCGCGTGGATAGAGTGAAACAGAAGAAAGCATCATTTAAGCGAGCTCATAATTTGGAATAACTCAACCTGCTATCGCCAAATATAAAATATTATTAAACATCACTAGGAAAAAAAAAATGGGAACCGAGCTGTGGTTCAAAGGTAGCTGAACCGCCGCTCAAAAAAAGCTATAAATTATCCATTGATAACAAGTCTTATTAAAAAAAAAAAAACTTGTACTAGTGAAACTGAATTTGTGTTTGAGTGTTTTTTGTTTTGTCAACTGCACCAGCTTTATTCTTTCATGATATTGGCTAAACTTCTTTACATGTACAAAATTAATTTTCCTAAAGGAACAGTATGTCATGTCTCGAATAATGTATGTACACTGTACTGTAGAAAATCCCATCTTGTTCCTTGCTGCCATTTGGATTAAATCAGCTACTAAAGCCTCTATTGGGCTTATTAAGCCTGTTTTCTAATAATGGCTATCACGATGACTGAAAATAGTGCTTAATATAATAATAAAAAATATTAAACATATTTGTAGCTATTGCAGTAAATGCACATGGAATCATTATTCCCTCACAAGTTTGTGTACATATATTAGTTTTTATGAAGGCATGCCACAAGTCCCTTATTTTTTTCTTATTCTGGACAGTGCCACCAACGAGCAAGTAAATTTAGAGATGGAAAACGAAAAAAAAAAAAGAAATCAAGTATGGGGCACCAAGTGCTTTAAAGGGTAACCCGACATTAGGCCCTGGCCCGGGATTTAAAAATCGTCTTAGATGGTGCCAACGTACAATCGACTTTCCAATTTTAAGCAATTTTTAAGCTAAGCAATATGGATAAATTTGACTTAAGCAAAAAAATTGGACTTGAGACGAATTTATGCTGATTTCTAGTTTGGAACCCAAGCTGGTATATCTGAACCCCATAAACTGTACCTTCAAACAACTGATGTGGAGCTGAGGTTAAACGTATGTATTGTATATATGAGCTGTTTCTGAACAGCAAAAATTTATAAGAGAAATGAAATATAAACCAGGAGAAAGTTAATATACAACAAATAAATAAACTACTGTACTCCAAGATACCTTAAGAAAAGGTTTTAATACTGTACATCGATTGATATATTGGAAGTGAACAAGTTCATTGTTCAACTAAAGCAATCTGCCAAATATGTATGCATTTTACAGTATAAAAACTACACAAGTATAAGAATTGGCTGATATGCACCGTTTTTCCAACATGTTTATTTATGTACAGTACAGTAATTCATATACGTCAAGTTTATTTTTATTTTGGGACAACATGAAATTAATAAACTTGAGTATCTTTGATGTGAAATAATTGGTGTTTGATGATGATTAAGCCATGTAAATGCTGGAATTACCGGCTGAAAAACTTTGATTATAACGTGGCCTCTGAAAAACACTTGAAATGTAACAGGAGTGACAACGTGTATGTTTGGAGGCTTATATCACGATTCTTTATTTAGTAGTTTTTGTTTTTTATTGTGTAAAAAGAACATTTTATATTCCATCCACCCAAAATTAAAATTTATTTTCCATAGGCCTAGTGAATTTCTTTGGCCGCTTAAGAATATAAACATGTTTGATTTTTTTGCCCCCCCCCCTTTCTTTTAATTGTATTTTTTTTTTTTATAATTATATTCGATGTTAATTTCTAATTATTTTCAAAGTTTGTTAAACTTTGGTGATTTCATGCCATTTTGAATGTTGATCTGATGTGATTCCAATGCAAAGTGTAGAAATTGTCCATTTAATTGATCCTAAAATCTAATTTATAATTGTTGATCCACAGCAACAAGCGATTCCCCGGGTATGACCAGGAGACCAGCGAATTCAATGCAGATGTCCACTGCAAACACATCTTTGGTGGTCACGTTTCTGACTACATGAAAATGTTGGAGGAGGAAGATGAAGATGCATACAAACGCCAGTTTTCACGGTTCATCAAACTTGGCGTTACAGCTGATTCGGTAAGTGAACATTTTAACAAGAAGTAAGAATTTAAAATTTAAAAAAAAGTATGTAATTTTTAAAAGGAGGCTATTCAATAGATTGTTGATGAATAATTAATAGTATGCAAACTAATAAAAAGTGGCCAGAATTTTAAAAAGAGCTTTATCTACTATATATTGTTCAGATATTATTGTTGTACATTGCTACACTGAAGATGCTTTTATTTTTGTTTTTAAAAGAAAATAAGGTTAATTCGTATTTCCTATTTTAAATATATATTTTCAATATGAATTTATATCATTTAATTTGACACTACAATAGAGAGTACATTATTTTTTTTTTATGTGAAGAAAATCAAATTATTGAAATGAGTTGATATTGGTTTTTTTAAAAGTAGTATTGGTATTTTATGATGATTAAGCCATGTAAATGCTGGAATTACCAGCTGAAATACTTTGATTATAACGTGGCCTCTGAAAAATACTTCAAATAGTTGTGTAGTGGAGAAATAATGTAGTTTCACCTTTGTTTATTAGTTGTGCTGATTATTAGCTAATAAATATATAACTACAGTATATTTGAATTTTTTATAACAGATGGAAGAAATGTACAAAAAGGCCCATGCAAACATCCGTGCCGACCCAGTACACAAATCCACAAGCAAACCATACGATGGAAAGCCGAAACGGTGTGTATAGCCATTTTATCACTTAAAATAATCGTCCTACCTTGCATGCTACTTTTTATCAACTATTACTTGTATTAATACTTTATCCTGAAATGAATTATTGAAATGACATGATAAATATGTTTAAATATTAATATTTGGTATTTTATGATGATTAAGCCATGTAAATGCTGGAATTACCGGCTGAAACACTTTGATTATAACATGGCGTCTGAAATGTACCTTTATAAGGGAACTAGAAAGATATTTTTTTATATAGAAGGGATTTTTGATGTCATTAGTAATAGAATAGAAGAATTTTTTATTCTAATAATAGTGACATATCAAAAATCCACTCTAGGAAAGAAATCATCTTTCTTGTTCCCTTTTAAGCAGTTTCTCAAGCTCTCGCAACAAGGTATACGAAAAAGGTTGCACAGTGATAGTTTGTTCCAAATTCAGGTTTTTTTTTTTCTAGTAAATATAAAATGCTGGAATTAGTTCATATTACTCAATTTGCCATTATTCCTTTAAATGTCCATTTTTAAAGAATGATTTCATTCAGTTAACCAAACAATTAAATATGGCCTTTTTTTTCCTTTTATGCAGATGGAACCGGGCAAAATTGTCAAAACAACAGCGCGTGGATAGAGTGAAACAGAAGAAAGCATCATTTAAGCGAGCTCATAATTTGGAATAACTCAACCTGCTATCGCCAAATATAAAATATTATTAAACATCACTAGGAAAAAAAAAAAAAAAAATGGGAACCGAGGTGTGGTTCAAAGGTAGCTGAACCGCCGCTCAAAAAAAGCTATAAATTATCCATTGATAACAAGTCTTATTAAAAAAAAAAAACTTGTACTAGTGAAACTGAATTTGAGTTTGAGTGTTTTTTGTTTTGTCAACTGCACCAGCTTTATTCTTTCATGATACTGGCTAAACTTCTTTACATGTACAAAATTAATTTTCCTAAAATTAGAGGTACAGTATGTCATGTCTCGAATAATGTATGTACACTGTACTGTAGAAAATCCCATCTTGTTCCTTGCTGCCATTTGGATTAAATCAGCTACTAAAGCCTCTATTGGGCTTATTAAGCCTGTTTTCTAATAATGGCTATCACGATGACTGAAAATGGTGCTTAATATAATAATAAAAAATATTAAACATATTTGTAGCTATTGCAGTAAATGCACATGGAATCATTATTCCCTCACAAGTTTGTGTACATATATTAGTTTTTATGTAGGCATGCCACAAGTCCCTTATTTTTTTCTTATTCTGGACAGTGCCACCAACGAGCAAGTAAATTTAGAGATGGAAAACGAAAAAAAAAAAAGAAATCAAGTATGGGGCACCAAGTGCTTTAAAGGGTAACCCGACATTAGGCCCTGGCCCGGGATTTAAAAATCGTCTTAGATGGTGCCAACGTACAATCGACTTTCCAATTTTAAGCAATTTTTAAGCCAAGCAATATGGATAAATTTAACTTAAGCAAAAAAAAAAATGGACTCGAAGACGAATTTATGCTGATTTCTAGTTTGGAACCCAAGCTGGTATATCTGAACCCCATAAACTGTACCTTCAAACAACTGATGTGGAGCCGAGGTTAAACGTATGTATTGTATATATGAGCTGTTTCTGAAAATTTATAAGAGAAATGAAATATAAACCAGGAGAAAGTTAATATACAACAAATAAATAAACTACTGTACTCCAAGATACCTTAAGAAAAGGTTTTAATACTGTACATCGATTGATATATTGGAAGTAAACAAGTTCATTGTTCAACTAAAGCAATCTGCCAAATATGTATGCATTTTACAGTATAAAAACTACACAAGTATAAGAATTGGCTGATATGCACCGTTTTTCCAACATGTTTATTTATGTACATTAATTCATATACGGCAAGTCAAGAACTTGTTCTGCAATTCGAGAACTTTAAAAAATTAATCTACCAGCGCCAGCCATGGCATTATGAAACACAATAAACATTTTTTTTTTTAAAGAATCGAGTGGTTGTTACGCTGACTGGAACACCAACATACTTAATTTTCAATACAAAAGGCCAAAAGTTGACTAAAAGAATACTCGATATTGGAGGCCGGCATTAGGTATCCATAGCAATATGCCAGTACATTCGTAGATGCCAGTCAATGTGTTAAATTTCTTTTACTCATTGTTTGCTAGCATAGGATACTTCTATGAATGTTTATAACATGGAATGTCCAATGAAAGTTGCTAGGCTTATTTTCATGACTCCTCCTCATCGGCTTTTTCCTCATTTGCATCATCCTCGTCATCCTCTTCCTCTTCCATCTCTTTGCTGTCATTCACATCATCTTCACCAGCAGTCTCTCCCTGTGATTTCTCCGAGTCTGTTTTACTTTTCTTTCGTTTCTCTGAAGCAACCTTCTTGTCTTGTTGTTCCTTTTTGAATTCTGAAACAAAAACAAGGATATTTAGATTTCAGTTTCTCATCCATAAACTTTATAAAATTCTAAATTTGTAGCTTTTCTAATCTATTATTACTGTAGACATCAAATAGTGCTTAGCTAGTGGTGAAGGATCATGTCTTACTTTAGGACCAATGGTAAAGCTTGGATGCAGTTCTATTAATATACTATAGTTGCAGATTAGACAAAGGGAAACGAAGTACACAGCAATTGTATTGGTGTATGCCACAAAATCATAAAATCTAAAGTTTATTCTGTTGAAATGTAATGTAATTGTTTATATAAAGATGATGACCTATGGATTGTAAATAATGATCTTGATCAGTTGAACAGACGAGACAATTAATAAGTGTATACTGTATAATCACAAACCGTCTAAACTTTGCTGCAGGGGCTCCAGAAACTCATCAAATTCCATATCTTTCATGGCAGCAAACACATCAGCTGCATTCATTGTTTTCCGCTTAGCCTTCAACGCATAGTTATTAGCACTTTGATTGGTACATGTTAAAAAAATGTTCATTTGAGTGAGCGATTGTTACTGTCTTAAAAGATATACAATACTGTCTATGGTAAAATCAGAATAAATTTCAAGATAAGTCTGTTATGAACTAAAAAATTTGAAAAAATAAAATTATATGAACAGTAATATGCATGTTAACTGCCAAGAAGAACAATTGTTTTAATTGTAAGTTAATAACCGCATAAGTAAGCAATTCCAATATTGAATTTTATTTTTTAGGTTTAAGCACAAAACAGTAGAGTATATCAATAAATGTTATGGTAAACTAGGAACTGCTATTATGAATATTGGATTGGATTGGATTTATTCGGTGTAAACACCAAGGATAGCCCATGAAAGTCTAGAAGAAGACTTTTTTCCAGTGGGGTCCTTCTGGTGGTGATTGAACAGTACTGTGTTCTTTAACGTGCACATGGGCCATAATGCACACGGGACCAACGGCTTAAACGTCTCATCCAAAAGACGGTGCGCTATTGTAACTTGTATTTCAGCCATCTAGCTGAAACACAAGGAGAGGCAGCGATGGGAATTGAACAGGGGACCTAGAGATCTCCACGGTTCAGCGCACACACAGTGGCTATCAGCCGACTGAGCTAAGCTGCTCTCTGAAATATAATATAAAAATATTATAAAAAAAATATATATATATGTAAATATATAACTATCAATCAAGAAAAAGGATACCAAGATGTAGCATACAGAACAAAGACGCTAGCTGCCCGGGACACAGCACTTCTTGCTTCCTTAGACACACTCACACCTTCCGGTACCTAAGCAATAAAAAAAATTATAATTTTATACAAAGAATCCAGCAGTAATTAGCTAGTGGACGATTATTGTGAACACATTAATAAATACAACATAAATAACAACTTCAATGATTTAGAATTACACATGAAAACGGGACAGCTGGGATAAGGACACATTCAGTGTCGACTAAGTGAATGCATACACAAAGTGTAAATGTACACAATTTTGAGAAATATAAACTAATGCAGTGAGACCACACTGTTTTCTTTATTCAAACTTACTGCCTGTCTCATTATTTTGCTGATTACAGTCATAGGAAGATTGAGGTCCTCTGGTCTTTCTGCCATTTCTTTTTCTGTTCTGAAAAGAAAAAAAAGGAAATCAGATTAGTAAATAATAGACGAACAACAGTAATCTTCCATTCAATGTAATGCATTCAGTAAAAATCTGCTAGGTACTGGACCAGGCCTACTGCTACAGACAGACCATGACAAACGGCGACAGAACAGATGTTCAATCATCATACATAACATAGGCATAGGCCTACATTGCTAATACTATATATTAGGCCTATAATACAATAATTACTGATGGGTTGTTTTTTTTTTCTTTAATAAAAGCCATAAGTAACAGTATGTAACTTTATGCTAGGCCTAGCCTTCTTGCTAGCCTTTCTAAGGCCTAAAGGTAAACTGGCTTGTTGTGTTTTAGTTAGTCTTGCATTCCATTTTGGCCTAGCCCTGGAGTCTAGGCCTAAGCTGCGGTTACCGGCGGAGTACTAGAAGGTCTAGGCCCTAGGCCTATAGCATATGACCTAGGCTAGGCTAGATAATAATGGCCTCTATGCTAGAGTTAGACACCTAGAGTAGTAGTAGTAATAATATAAAGATTAAAATATTGCTTTGCCGCTTTGCCTAGATTACGTAAAAAGTGCCTATAAATTCACTCTACATGTAACCTACTGAAAATGTTATTACAAAAATAACTGGAAATTCAATCGTTTTGTTTGTTGATTCTTTCCCGCAAGTTTTTTTAGCTCAGTCCAAAGTAGGCAGGTTATTGTATTTAATTTCGCCCAATTTCAATTCAAAGTTTAATAAAAGTTTGTCTTAAAAGTTTTAAAACTGTATAAATAAGCCTAGGCCTATAAATTTCGTAATCAGAAAAAAAAAATAATTAAAAATTAATTTAAATCGTATTATATTAAAGTCACAATCTAATTAAGATATTTCTATAAATTCTTTTTTTCTTTTTAATCTAATTCTAATCATGGACAGTATACGTATTCATTACTTTTTTTTTTATTTTTTTAAAAGTTGGTCTGTTTTATACAGTAATTATTTTATTGCACGTTAATAGTGAGCAAAATTTAGCTAATAATTATCTTTTTTTGGCATTTTTAAAATTTTACATCAGAAAGAAGGCTTTAGAAAAAAAAAGCGGTCCATAGACTTTAATCAAAATGTCAAAAAAAGAGAAAAAAAATCAATCAATCAATCACAAATGTCTATTCAAGTCGTTGTATGACTTTCTTCCACCTACAACTTACAAGGATAAAAAATTTCACTTTTCTGTTAGTGTGCAGGGGACGCTTCATTGGTCCAATATGTATATTAAGGCTCTTGAGATGATTTCTTTGATAGCCTATAGCCGGGATAGTTTTTCTTTTTCTCAACCTCTTAGATCTTCATGGAACTATTACCAGGCCTACATAGGAACTTTGTGTCAAACATAATTACACGTTGGTACACATTTGAGTTACACAAAGACTACCTTTATTACATTTAAGGAAATTGTTTCTTGAATGATGTATAATTGTATATAATCGTATTTTAATGTTTGTATTAGAAAGTGTTATTATTATGCAAGTTATTACTACTTGAACCTTTATTTTGGAGCCAAAATGTAAACACCCACAACCTTTATTTTGGGCCAAGAATTTACATTAGGAATATTTAATTACTTTAGTTGAGGCCTCGGATACGTAGTGGTATATACCGTACTCGCGCGATTATAAGCGCCCGGCGCTTTTAAACAGAGAAATTGAGGGGGCGCTTATGGAAATAGATGAAAATCAAGGGGAACTTATTAAATTCAAGAGGCACTTTTTGAATAAAAACAGGTTATATAAGGACATTACGAATGGTGGTGCGGCGGAAAACATCAGAGAACATGGCTCATGACAAGAATGCTGTGAATATTTATAACAGCAGAACAGCAGGTGCATTAGCTTGTTGGCCATCCGATTGCCATGAGATAAGCAGGACGGCAGGATTATTGCAGGTTTTCTTGAAATGAAATGAGAAAGTGCTAAAGGTGCAAATTGACGGGAAAAGAAAACGAGGAGTTGGACTAGGCCTAGACAAAATATATGCAAGAAGATGAAAGTTGGTAATATACTGCCTGTCCAGGAATCAGAGCTCTCATCTGTAGGCCTACAAGAGAAATATCTTCATTTTGATATTGAGCTAAGAAGAATGTGATTTCGCTCTGCCGCTCAAATCATGCCAACAACCACATTCCCAGGATTGATTTGATAATTGACTTGCTAAAAAGAAAATCTTATGATTATTCAAACGGGGCGCTTAAGGAAATTTTCACGGCGCTTATTCAAAAGAGGGGTGGTTATTCAAACAGGGCGCTTATTCGCGCGAGTACAGTATATTACTACAGGATAGTTTTTTTTTTAATATGTAAAAGTTAGTGAAAAGGTTCATCTGGATTTCTAGATTGTATTTGTTAAGGATTTCTTTTTGATGATCCAATATTTGAATAAGTACGTTAACTTACGTTTTTATTCTCGAGCTTTCGCTGGTTTTCAACACAGCTTAATCTGAGTGGGTCCATATGCACCTTTGTTCATGCCATGGAGGAATAAAATTAATAATATTTATTCCTCCATGTTCATGCATATGTAAAAGTGTACAAATCTATCTACCCCTCCCCCAGCATACTGTTTGTTCACTTGTGAAAATGTTGAACGACTTACATAGTCCTTACGTCATTATACTATTATATGATCTTCTAATAATAATAATAATAAAAAAAAAATATATATATATATATAAATCATCAAGGAAGGAGTAAAAGGGTAAATAGAGTGTTCGAATAAAGGACATACATAATAATACATCGTGTAGCATAGCTCTCAACAAATGTAGTCCTGTAAATAAATGAATAAAGCCTTGACAGCGAGAGATCGCAGGTTCGTGTCCCGCCAGAGGCATTTTATTACACAATTGCTTTATTCATTTATTTACAGGACTACATTCGTTGAGAGCTATGCTACACGATGTATTATTATGTCCTTTATTCGAACACTGTATTTACCTTTCTTTGATGATTTATATAGAATTTAACAGTGTTAACGGCTATCTTGATGTATATATAAATATATACACATGTATTTTTCTCATTATTATTATTGTGCCAATCTTGCTTTTGGATGTGTATTAATCGAAAGTTACACGGCAGTATAGTTGAAAAATGAATCAAAAAGCTATCATCACTTGCTAACTCCTTTAAATTAACCGTCGTAGTACACTGCATCACAGCCTCATGCAATATTAACCACAGAAGAGGTAATGCCAGCTGCAAGCCCTCACATGAGTTTTGTTACTCCGCTCATTGTGGCATCAACCTAGTTTTGGAAGATCACCCGGCCATTAAAATCATTTTAAAATGATTTGTTTTCCCTGGCTGGCAATGTACATCTGCGCTAAAGCACCGCTTCTTGAATAATTGTTGGCAAGAAAGTCCTACAAAAACGAGTGCTAAAACATACGCATGTGCATTTGTGGGACAACACGTGTGCATGTAGGGAATGTGCGTATTTGTTCTTATTGGTCTGTTGTCAGTTCGACACTCTGGAAGGGTCCATTAAACGGGAGACACCCCTTGCATTACCACATAGATTAGACATTGTAAATGTAATTTTCTTTGTTAGAAAAGTTTTTTGTTTTTTCAAAATCATTTTATTGTTTCAAATGTTAAATTATGCATCTTAATTTGTCAATATGGTAATCGTAATTTTCCTGGCTAGGACATACTGTACGACTAAAACCTTTAAAGACAGGACTGACTTTTTACCTTTTAAGGACTGTTTTTGCACTTTTACTCTTCTGTAACAGGGGCGGATCCAGAGATGTCCAAAGGGGGGGGGAAAGGAGGGGCCGAAAGGGACAACACTGAAATAGGAGGTCCGGGGGCATGCCCTCGCGAAATTTCTGTGTTTTAGACGCCCGAAAATATAATTTGAGGCGTTCTTGGCTATCGTTTTTTCTTTTTTTTAACCTCTCAAAAGGGGGCCGGGCCGCCCCCCCCCCACCACCCACAAATCCGCCCCTGTGTAAATTTTCGAATATTCAGCACTCTTGGATTTTATTGGCTACTTAACCTGTGGTAAATGTAAAACATCACATCAATACTGTATTTTGCAAGTGCCCCTCTCGATTAATCGTCGATCTGAAGTAAGTGCCACATTGAATCCTTTGAACATTATATAATGAAATAATTATACTGTAATAGTAATATAACTGCAATATATGCACACTGTATATAACTATTCTTATTACAGTACAAGTAAACCACACTATAAAGAACAAGTATGATATTTACTTCTTTTAATTTACAACTCTACAATACAAAGTATAATTTTCTTCATTCAGTATTTATTAATACAGTACTTTAATAAAAACATTTTTTTAGTATGTATTCATAACATATTTTTCTAAATGATAAAAATTTCTGTGGACTATAAACTTACTTTTAGGTTACATGGCTATTAATATTGAATAAACTCGCTTCTTTTAAAAGAATATTTGATTATTACTTTCATGAACACTGAATAATAATTTAATATCAATAATAAAATAATAATAATTTAATAGTAATAAAAATAACAACTAAATCAATAAGAATAATAATCATAATAATAAACATAATAATCAATTACTTTTTCATCAGTACTGTACAACAAAGATAGTTTCTGTGAAAGTTATGTCACTGATTTATATAATTTTGACTGTCACGCTTCCTTATGTTGTGTATTTTCTCTTGCACAACTGCTAGTAGCAGAATTTGATGGCATTCTGCTGAGCAGAGCAGGCCAAGCAAATAGTGACTTAAATCGAGAATAGAACAGTTTATATTGAGAAGTCTGCCGAATCCAATGTAATGGATCGTCAATCAATACATCTTCCTCAACATCTTTAACTGGTGAACCTTTAGAGGAGGTATTATTTGACGTCTTTGCTACTTCAACAGCACTTTTATTTCGCTCCTGAATGATGTCTGGCACAACAAACTTCTCTGTTCGCTTGTGCAGTGAGTTCCGATGCAAAAGTAAACCTTTAAAAGCTTTGACATTGGCTAAGTTTGGCGGAAGTAATGGTACAGACATTGCTCCATGGGGTTGCGTTGTGTTGCCCAACACTCTTGAACGCAGACGATCAGCTTTGGTTAACTCCTCATTGGAAAAGACTGGACACAATTCTTCAATAAAGGCTGGTGTAACAGACTGTCTTTGTGGTTGCTCTTGTTTGATATCGACATGGTTCGGGGCAAGGTACGGAAGCTGCCTTTCCTTTTGTGCACGATGTCTTCTAAATACAGTAATAGAAGTGTGTGGTTTCAATATGGCTTTTGTTACATCTTCATAAATCTCATACTCTCCCAAACCAGGGATAATCACTCTAAAAGGTTTCTTTCTTGAACCAGCTTTAACAAAATCACAAATGATTTCTTCATCTTTATCAGTAGTTGGCCTGATTTCTATGGTCACTGAGGAGCATTTTTTGCTGCACTGCTGTTCTTTTATGCAGTAAATTAAATATCGCCTACCATGGTCATCAACTGCGATTGAAATATTTTTTTCCCAGTATTTAGGAGATCTAAAAATTAGTCGGACAAGGCTTTCATTGAAAGATACAGTTGCCGGTGTTTGTTGGATAGAAGTTTCTACTGTATGACCTTCAACATCAGGAGATGTTTGAGAGACACGTTCTGGCTGAGGCCAAGTCATATTTTCTTGATTATTTCCTAAACCTTTACTAACATATCTCAATGTTTCAATGATTATTCTTGAATGTTTGCCATCAGACCTGTCTATCTGTTGCTTGTGAAATATAGGCAAATCAAAGAGTTCAAAATACGTGATTGGCACAAGGAATTTTGCATCTGAGACTTCTTCAACTTCGGATATTGCTGCAATTAGCAGCATCTCTGAGGAGAATTCTTTCCCAGGATTTGGAACTATCAATATCTTCCTTGACATTACCGGCAATGAGGGATCATAATATGGAAGACTTATCCTTGTGGACATCTTTCCGCTATGAACCGTCGCCTCAGAAATCTTAGACTGGTTGTTCCCTTGGGTGTTTACAGGAAAGGAGTTTGAGGAACATACAACAGATGTTTTAGCAGGCACATTGACGCTTGTTGCTGATTGTGCAGACACAGGTATGTTTAGAGGGTGCATCAGGATATTTTGTGCAAATGTTGTCTGTGCTAGAGCACCAAAATTCTGCACAGGTACTAGCAACCCTTGTCCTGGAATACTGATGACACCAGGTTGTACAAAATTTCCCGGCATCCTTAGCAAAATTCCTTTTGCCACAATATTTGGCATCATTTTTGCAAGTAATTGACTACCATGAGGTAATGACTGATTGATAGTCAGGGGCCCTCCTGGTGACTGACTTGGCATACTCTGTACTAATGATGTTGCAGGAAGGCTTTCCAAACTCGGCGACGATACCGTGTTAGCTGTGCTAATAGCTGCTGCCTCAGATGTCATTTGTAGCTGATGTTCTCCACATGAAGTGCCTAATTGAGGAATGCTACTTGTTCTGACAGTGGAGACTTGAACATCACTATTTATTGATTGCTTGCCAGTGTTTTCACTTCTCTGTGTTAATGAATCATTGAGTTGATGTTCAGGTAAAAGAACACGAGCTCCACTTTGAGTCCTGATTTGATTTTTGTCAACTGATGATGTCATTAATTCAGCATCACTGGATGCACTTCTAGGTGACTTCTGAAAGTCACTTACATTACATCCAACTACAGTTGAGCTGCAAGCTGTTGACTGTGGAACAACTGACTGAAGAGTGCTTGCAACTGGAACAGAAGTGATGAGTGTAGTGGGAAATTTACCACCAGAGTTAAAAGATTGAGTCAGTGTTGCACAAGAAGTTTGATCTGCAATAACAGCAGTAGTGTTGGCTTGTACAACAGATCTTGTGTCTTGTATTTCTGTTCTTGCTGTATGTGATGTTTCTATTACCACTGGTGAATTGGAGCTGTTGGTTGCTAAATTACATTGGATCAATTGGGCTTTGTGTGAGAGAGAAGTAGCTAATGAGTTTGAAAAAGATGCACTTGCAGGTACTGTCATGCCTACTCGTGTTACTGAAACTGACGATGGAGAAGTAAGTGAAACAGGTGTGGTAACCAGAGTTTTCTGGCTCGGATGCACTAATGTTGGCTGAGGAATAAGATTTTTCAAGGCTGTGAATTGTGACTGATAGACCTGCCCTACTTGGTTCAGTAGGCCAACTGTAGTTTGGAATTGGTATTGACCAGGTGCACTGAACTGGACCATTCCAGAACCTTGTGTTACAATAGGTAGTCCTGGGCTCATTAAAGTAGAAGTAGCCCCTAGTAGATGTGCTGGTAGCTGAGAATTGGTAGTATTCTGTGGCAACTGACCCGGAGTCTGAAAACTTCTTTGTGGCTGTGGTACATGACCTGCTGTTGCTACAACCTGTGGTATTGCTATTAGAGAGACTGCTTTTAACTTCTCTCGACTTCCTTGGACCATTACATTACTATTTGTTAGCACTGGGTGTGTAGGTGTAACCATAATGGATGATGTTATAGCAGTTGTGTGAGGGGTAGAACGTTCTTGAAACTGTTGCGCTCCAGGAACAGATTGATTTGTTTGTACTGGTAAACTGCTAGGTATCCTCAAAGCAACTGTCTTGCCACTGGATTGTAGCTTATGCAAATTGCTCTTGCACAAATTACGACGCATTAAACTGTGTTTTCGTCCATACTTTAAACGTCTTATCCACGAAGCTGTGACATTTATATTAACCTGGAAGACCTTGAATAATAATAGAAGAGAAAATGTAAGTGTATGTCTGTTTTCTTTTCTGATAATTCAGTTTATATGTAAAAGAACATAATGGTGTATACATATATATCTCACACATTCTACCTTACCTTAGATATTGTTGCTAAGATACCACAAAATGACACCCTAAACATAAATACACATGAGTTTATAGGACAACATTGTGTTTCTGGACAAGTGCATATTTCAGGCCTTGTTCCGATCAGAAGTGGCGCCAGCGGGGAGGCCAGAGCCCCCCGTCGGGGAGAGCTCGCCCCCCCCACCTTTGGGGAGGAAAAGCAATATTCGTCGGGGAGAAAAAAAAATTATATGTATTTTCTACGTATTAGTAGACTATAAAATCGATTAAATAAGCCTTTAAAACCCCTAAATTGTCAAAATTTTCGGGGGCTTCGCCCAAGGACCATTTTCGACACCTTTTAATCAAAGTCGACCACGCCCACTTTGCTTTTGTCTGAGAAATCTGACCCCTCATCGGGGCATCGGCCCCCCTGTCGGAAAAATCCTGGCGCCACCCTGGTTCCGTTTTTGTGAAAAGGATGTTAATAAATGTTACATTGGAATTAGAACCTACTTCTTTGAATAATATACCAAATTAAAACTCTCATACATTCGAATTCGGTGTGAATGCACCTTAATGGTGGTAGTTACAGCATGGTACTTACTTTCAAGAGTGCAGTGTAAACCAGGTAGTTAGATCGATTTAGATTTTTCTCTCGTAAGGTGCTAAGTGTGTGTCGTGCTAAATTAAAAAAAAAAAACACATTCAAATCATTTAGAAATAAGTTTTGATAAGAAAGCTGTATCTGTATTAGAAACTGTTATAATATCTTTTATTATTATATCAAAATATATTTATAAAAAACCCATGGAGAACTGGCAACTCAACACTGGCAACAGACAGAAGACATTCATATGTAACAAGTAGAGGACATATACAGGTAACAGAAAACACTACAGGTAACATTTTTAACAGTAAAACGTCTATTTTATGATCGTCAATTTTATGAATAGTTGATTTTACGAATGGTGTTTACCCTTGATGACATCATCATTGACAAATCATCACCGTAATAATAGTTTGAATGCGCACGTTTTACAAAGTGATAATGCATATTTTTCTTAATAAAATCAAGTTTGTTTTATTTATTTATTAATAGTTTGATCTCTTCTATTTCTGGTATAATAATCACTATATTAATGTAATAAACGTAACCAGAACAACCAACTACAAACGCAAGTGTTTACGATGACGAACAAGAGTGTTGGGGTCAGCAACTTACTGACATCATGAATGCTAGATATGATCGCGAAATGCTTGTAAACAACACAATTCAGTGATCTAACAACTAGAAAGAAAGTGATAGAAAGGGCCATAAAACATAATATTTTTGTTAAGTGGAAGAATGCCAGCAATTAAAATAATTTGGTTTTTATCGAAGGTAAAATCAGCTAGGCTCAAGCGCAGTAGACCAAGCTGCTGCACTGTCGGTTCGTGCTGGGCCTGGCTGCCGTCAGCATATCAGTGCTCAATGGTGCAGGGATAGCTAGGCCTAGTTATTGGAAACTGACACCCAATCTAGTTTACAAATTTTTCAATTTACTAACACCCTTTGGTACCAAGGGGTAAGTAGAATGGATGTTTTACTGTAGTAGATTGATAACAGCAGAGGAAACTCATCCACGTGTGAAAGACACAGGGGTCCCAAGTTAATAAGTCACTTCTGGGAGATTTGGTTATATGAGCTTTCATAATAGTGATACCCAACAGCACTGACTTCCTTGAGACAATTGATAATAAAGCAGTGAAAACATTCAAATATTATGAATTTGTGGGAGATGCATTATTTTCTTGTTTGCTTGCGGAGTGTGGTAGGCAATTGTGATTTGCGGGAGACTTGATAACACCTAGAGGAAACATGTAACAAAATGAATATTCAATTCGATTTTAAATACTGTCATGAATATTTAACAACTTATGGAAACATTTAATACCTTTTGACATTCTATTTAGCCTTTCTTTACTGATGTGTCTGGCATATGGTTTTAGCAAGTGCCGAATCTGATCTACAACAATTGTGTCCATCAAGGTAAGTTTCCTCCTTCCTCTTCCCGTAACTTTTGGTCTGGATGGCTGGGGGTCAGCATCCTCTTGTTCCGTGCCATCTTCTGACTGGCTCTCGTCTTCGGATTTTATCATTTCTTTGTATGTTCGTTTTCTTAATCTACAGGATTTTGTAGCATCTGTCTTTGGTTTTAATTTTGTGCAATATATATTATTTCTTTCACTCAAGTAGAACAATTTGCACATTTCAGTTTTGTTTGGAAGTTCATCCCATTTTTCCTGCTCAACCAGATTCTAGAAAAAAAATAAATGATGCTAAAAAATTTGTGATTGGTTGATATGGATTCTCATCATCAATTAATTGTTACAGCTAAAAGGTACAACCTCAAATTAACTCAGCACTTAAAATGCTTCACCTATGATGCATCAGCTCTGTTTGGTTGGCAATCTGGAAAGATCCATGGAACCAAGAACTTTGGGATTGGAAGGCCAATATACATTAAGCTACACTTCATTCTCATAAATCAACATCAATGGTCAATGCACCACCATTGTCATGGCATCATTATCATCATCCCCTTAATTCTTACCATGACATGCTTCCTTTTGACTAACTTCTCCTTTAGATGGCAGACATACTTTCTCATCCAAAAATACAAATCATCTTTTGTTTTTAGATCAGTGTCCATTTTAATATTCCTTTCATCCTTCTTAGCTTTCTTTGGAATCTGTTTTTTAAATTTGTTTATTTGTATTACCTGTTTAAAGATTGAATAAAAATCATGTTTTTGGAAAAATGATACAGTTTAATAAAAAATCACATAAAATGGAATTATAATCCAAATGTTCTCTCTCTCAAACCTTCAAAAAAAAATATAAATACACTTTATAAGAATGAAAGAGGAGTAATAAAAAGATAAAAGAACAAATATAAATGAGTTCAACTTGCAATGAAAAAACATGTAATGATTGAGATAAAATATGTGGTATATAAAAAAACACTATATTATTATTTATATATCAATTTTATTGCTGTTATTGCCATATTATTATTTTCTTTATCAATATTATTATCATGTAAGGAATGTTGTAAATAAGAAAAATGACAAAATAAATGGAGAAAGTTGGAATTACATGATGACAGTGCAAAATAATAGATGATGGAAGAGTTTTCAGAAGTCATGCTTAGCATTGTCTTCAACTGATAATTATTAAGCTGAAAAACCTTTGTGTTGGCCAAATCTGAAGGTCTCAAAATGTCTTTTTTTAGGCAAATATATATCAAGAGCCCCAAATACTTGTATGACGACTGAAAAAGGCCACTTTCAAGCTTTGATCAACATGGAGACTGAAAGACTGGGATGTACTCCCCAAGGAAATAATTGAACTATAAAGCAGTTCAACGGTGCCATCGAGACCTTCTAAATGATAATTATATCGTACATAGCCGCACGCACATAGCACTATTACTGCACTGGCACATAGCTGTCTGTAGGTCGCTGAGCACCCTCGTCTAGATGCTGCACAGGCTTTGCCGAGTATTGAGGTAGAAGTAGCAAAAGTAGAACATTAATACCCTAGCAAAGAATATTTATATTACTTATTATTATTAAATTACTCTTATTGTTCTTAATATTACCATCAATGTGATCAAACTGAAGAAAATGAAGAGGGTGTACTTACCAAATGCCTGAGTCTAATAATAAGACCATTACGTGATCTTTGGGACGTTGCAGAGGTACGTTCAGCCAGTTCAACTACCATTTGTTTCCATTTACCTAAATTATTAACATGTCCATAATTCATAATCATCATCAACATAATATTGATTATCATTCATATTTTTGTAAATACGATTAAAGTAGGACAGCAGCATACCTCAGTTGGTTAAATGAGCAGTGGCCTCTGTATGTTTGTTCTGATTTGTGAAACTACATATTTATATATTTTTTATATTTTGTGTCTTGTGTGACAAAAAAATACCTAAAAATAACTGAAAAGAAAGGAGCCAAATGTAGTGAATTTAGTTACCTTGTCCATATTTAAGTATCATTTCCAGAAGTACAATGTCTTCTTCTATTGACCAAGATCCACCTTTTCTATTGGGATTTAAAGAGTTTATCCACCTGCAAAAATTGAAACAATTTAAACATTAGCATCAAAATACTGGTAAAACTTTCCATGAAACAGCAGCAAACAAGCCCAACTATACCAAAAACAAATCAATACTAGACTTGCAACCACTGCAGGAATTGTCAAATTGTGAATGATTCAGATGATAGAAACAAATCTCCAGTGATAAGAACTAAAAACCAAAGCCCCACTGTACACATCAATTTTATGTGTACTTTCAAGTTCCAAGAACCTAGAGATCTTTCAAAGAAGTTGCGAGTTACCCTGGTACTCTAGTTCAAATCAGGTCCTATCATTGTGGAAAGATGTACTAAGTACTTCTCTTAAGTAATTATCACTGACGATGCCCAGGAATCCTAAGTCTCCCACAATTCGTGGGAGTTCACCGGAAATCAGACAGCCTCCCGCACGTCTGCAACCGAAAAAGAAATCTCCCGGAAAATAACCAATCTTCCTCAAATTCATTCAACCTGCTTCTCCCGGAAAATAACCAATCTTCCTAAAATTCATTCAACCTGCAAGTTTTTACTACTGCAGTACCCCTGCAGCGTCAATTGGCATCACCATAAGTAGCAAAACAAAATTAGATGTACTAAGGAAGGCCATTTAAATAGATCTCCCATAAATAACTTCTTCCTACTTAAGGTCCCTGAATTCCTGTACTCAATGCAGCAAAATGACACAGCAAGATGCATCTTAATTGCCTTCCTTTATCACTACTTCAGTAATAATTTTCTTTTCAACTTTAATGATTTTCAAGATGCTTTACATATCAATTTGAAAATCACAAATTCAGGATAACAAATGATTTCCTAATATTTTATAACTATAGAACCATATTAAACAACATTGAAATACTTTCATTGCTTACAAAAATAAACAATTACAATCTGTTAATCTTAATTACTTTGGAAGGAAAGTCAAACTTACCTTTCACGAACAGCAGTTGCATGGCGACCAGGTATACCATCTGCTACCTTATACCAAACTGTTCCATGTTTTGCAACACCTTGTTTAAGCAGCTGGAATAAATAGTATTGATAATGAAAGCATTTACAAAAAATGGACAATATGGTGAGGGTATGAAATATGTACTTGTTTGTTATTGTTTTATTTTTTTTTTCCAATTTTAATGTCTTGAGACAACTAAATGAAATGAAAAACTGAAAATGTTAAAAGAGTCCTTAGTGACCAGCAGTTGGTGCATGGCTCATTTTTGTGGATGCCTTCATATTCAAAAAATTTACAGGTCTCCCTCCAATTAAAGACCACTTTTGGGTCCAGGATTTCCATGGTCTTTAGCCTCTCATTTGAATAATAAAGATAAAACACATTTGTTAATGTGGGACCAGAGGAAAGTGGTCCTTAATTGGAGAGGTCTTTCATTAGAGGGAGACCTGAAATATAGAATATATAATACTGTACAAATGTACACAAAGTGAGATACATTATATTATCATCATAACAAATATGCACTTGCAAATATATACAATATCTATCATTCAATCTGACTGCTTTGCTGTATAACAAAATTCAAATAAGTTTCTTTTTCGATCTCTGGTCTCATAGTCATTCAATGTCCTTTACAGTCTTGTTTATAAGATAATTATAATAATCCCTGTATATTTTAATTACATTTTCGATCATTCATATCAATAATGACAACAAAGGCATTACAAATATAAATAATACAATAAAAAAAATATATAGACAGACTAATAAAAAAAGACATTTATAAATGTACAATATATAATATTGTATCTCTTCATGTGACCAACAGAAGTGTATCCAATAATTAAGATAATAAATAAAAAATGACATGGATCAGTACTATAACTGAAAACATTGGTAAACAAACATATTTTATGGACCACAGTGGAAAATTACTTGCTTTTTGTACTTTTCTGTTTCCATTCCTGAATTTTTTTTTTTTTGGAATGAGTGAAAAAAATAAATAAAAAAGATATTAATAAATGATTTTAAATCTAGTAACCAATCATGACAACATAACAGTATTTGAAATTTGAACTCTTACTTTATCCTCCTCTTCTGTCCATGCACCCAGCTTCAAATTCGGGTCAAGCTTTGTCTGCCAACGCATCAAGACATGTCTGCGACCACGGTTCATAAAATATCCCACTAATGAAAGAATAAAAAAAATATTAGCATTTTTCCCCTAAAATTTAAATTTAAATTTTAAATTTTCTTTTTCCTTTATCTACACACAACACATTTCGCCTATCGAAGAATAGGATGACGTTCTATGCACTAAGTATCTAATAAAGCTTGAACCTGGAATACAGGGACTGGAAGGCAAGCACTTTAACTGCTACCAAGCTAGAGCTCCATTCCAATTTATAATGATGGTTCACATTTTCATAAAGGTCTGAAGATTTCCAAAATTGAAAACACTATCCAAATATAAGATTGTGTATTTATTTATAAAAAGCATTTTAATACAAGAACCATTATGAAAATGCTGTTCCAAGATCACGTTGAGAATTTGTATGAATTTTGTTTAAAAACTGGCTCTCCATATATTTTATAGTCAAAAAGCTGTTTAAAATAAACAGTTTACCTTTTTGAAATGGTATAAAATTACCAATTCTGAAAGAGTCAACAAGTTTAACCAAAAGATTGTCTTCTTCCTCTGTGAATTTTCTGCAACAAAGTAATAAAAAAGACCTGATTCTCATTCTTAAGACATATGCTTAAAATTGTCTCCTTTTAGTCATGAATATTAATAATATAAAGGTAGAAATACGGTTTATTCTTTACTGGTGTTTCACAGTGTTATAAGACCATTAACCTATTGCAACAACTGTTTTTTAAGAGATGCCCAAAATTGTGAATTGGAAGCAGATTCCAAATGACATGTGTCTGGGCAAAGAAACCCTCTGGCTGACATTTAAGGTGAGTTCTCGGAGAAACTAGAGTGAGTGAGTCCAGTTCGGAACAAAGACCAGCAGGTAAAAGAACATAAAGTGGTATAAGTTTTTGTAGATACGCAGCATCAGCGCCATAAAGACACTTATAAATCAGGGTTGCAATCTTGTAAACAAGGCACTGCAAATGTTACCCAAAAAAAAGTTCAGCAATGCATCCATGATTGTTAATTCTGGTCTAGTAATTGTGAACTTATTTTCAAGTTACTGTAGTATTATTGTATCTGCAAATGTGATTGTAAAAATTGTAATTTGATAGTACATTTGAAGAAATATTTCTTACATGCTGTCAGAATCTTGTGGAATTTCTCTTTGGTATGCTTTCAAGCACTGCCATGGAAGACGTCCACCCTGAAGTAATGAAAAATAATTATCTATGTAATAATATATCTATTTACAAAGTAGAGTTACCTGTTTCAATGGCCCTTTCCTGAGTGTCAATAAAATTTTAAAACTGACCAATCAGAGCATTGCTAAGAATATTCTTTCACAAACACACATGTTTATGCTTTCTTTTTGCAGGACCTTAACAACAATATCCAAGAATGGGGCTTAGCAGTAAAGTTCATTGTTTCTAGTAGTAAATGTCATTGTCATTACGACAGCTTTGTACAGTTAACAGGTTAGACCTTACTTGTCAAGTGACCACAATTTTACTTACTTACTATTATTGAAATTGAATAAGTAAGTAACATGCTAAGACAAGGAGGAATGCTTTAAAAACTCAAGTCTCAATCATGAGAAAAAAAATCAAGGATTTTTTTCAGGTTTTGAACCTACGAGCATAACATTGGTGGATTTTAATATATACAAACAAGTTTTGGTAAATGGGCAAGTACTAGGGTTTCAAAACGTGTGTAGTTTTAAGTATCTTTATTGTTAATTGAATATAACTTATTTATATATCACTGATATATAATTATTTGTAATTAATTATATTTCAGCAATACATTTTTAAAATAATGTATCGCTGAAATATAATTAAGTTACGTTTAACTATATTTTAACAATATATTAATATAATGTATTGCTGATATATAGTTAAATGTAACTTAATCATATGTCAGCGACACATTATTTTAAAAATAATAAAAATTCTCACCCCCACTTCTTCTGCAACTTGTTCCCACTCATGTTCCCCATGCACTTGTACGGCAGCTGCTAAACATTTAACTTCTTCTGGTGTCCAATTGAGAGAGTTGATGCTTGGATGCTGTCGGTTCTGCCATTGCACTTGGCACTCAAATGGAGAGCGCTTCCCATCCAGCTATAAACGAAAGTGAAAGTGCGTAATAGCAGGAAGAAGAAACATGGAATGTGAGGTAGAAAATGAAAATCCAATGAATGGACTGGAAGGAAAATTTCTTACTGAAAAGTACACAGAAGCATTGTCTTTGGAAAGACTTGCAATATTTGAATTCCTCATTTGGTAATTTTGAGAAAGTTTTCAACTTTATATAAAGAAATTTTTAAAAAACCCAAAACAATTCCCAAAGAAATATTTGCTTGGAAAATACAGGTCTCCCTCCAATTAAAGACCATGTGTGGGACCGGGTTTCCATGGTCATTAGCAGCTTTGGTCTCTAATTAGAACAACAAAGATAAAAGATGTTTATTTGGGACCATAGAAGAGTGGTCTTAATTGGAGGTGGTATCTAATTAGAGGGGTCTTTCATTAGAGGGAGACCCGTACTGAGATTTTTTTTTTATCTTGGTATCTTTTATTCAACAAAAAAACATTAATTCTACTCACGTCCATCACTGATATTTTAGTCCAATCCACTTTTCTGAGTCTGTCGCCAACAAGTTCATCATCTGGTAGATTTCTGAAGAATTGAAGTGATGAAAGTGACAAAATAGAAAAACTATTCCACAATATCAATCAATGCAAAACAAAACAATCTTAAAAAGTCAGTAATTAGGAATTTGAAATCATTAAACAAACCAAATAACTTAGAAGTAGTAGAATTACATTCAATCAAATGTAAACTGTTCTGGAACCAATCATCGTTTCTTAAATATTTTTACCAGTATTTATAACAGAGGTGTATGATTGTGCACCAGTGGCGTTCCATATGTGCTAAGGTCAAAGTATATTTATGTGTATTGACAGTAACTAATAAAACAAAATGAACAAAAGACTTCATTGACAAAGGTTAAAAAACGTACTTGATTGCAGTTAAACGGCCATCAAGTTCCAGAATGGACTGCTTCACTTCATCCTTTTCTTCTTTGGTTATTTCAATAGACTGCAGTTTCTTCATTAACACCTCACGTTGATTCAAGATTGGTTGCATCAACTGTTGCATCCCATCCGACTTCACCGCATCTTTTAATTTCTTCAGTAACTGCGGTTGCCCTAATATATAAATGAATATTATACTTAATTTTAGTTCACATTTTACCAAGTTTAGTGCTTACCAAACTTACAGACAGCCTCTTTAACTCCTCAGACCAAAAACCTCACATATAAATGTAATATTGGCATCTAAAAAAATATTGTGTAGGCCTATTGCAGCTCTCTTAAACATGCACCAAACTTCCCCCTTCTAGTTTATTTAAACATCGTTCTTTCATATTGTATCTTCTTGATAATGCGAGACATTTTTTATACCTTGTTTCGCAGACTTATTTTCCATCCTACAAAATAATTAATATTATTATAAATAAGACATTTTACTAACACTTAAAAGCAGGTGCTATATGTGCTGGAGGTTCTCCACCTGCATGGCGTCTGATGGTTTCCTTGCATGGAGGTGGGCCCTGAAAAACGGACAATATATTCTTAAACAATTAACTAACAAAAGGTTGCAAAAAATGCATATCAGAAAGAGTATGAGCAAATATATATTATCATTCTTGTTGTGATAATATTTCTGTGGTTTTAGATCAGCTTTAGGCATACTAGAGGTACTGTAGCCACTGTGTGTAATATCTGAGCCATTGAGATTCATCGTTAACCTTATGAATGTGATTCAATTGTATTTCTCTCCTTTTGTTTCAACTGGAGAGCTGAAATGCAAGAAAAAAAGAGCACCCTCTATTGGAGGAAATGATTACATGGTTGGTTCTGAGTACAACATGGCCCATGTGTATGTTAAAGAATGCAACACAGTACACTCTTTGGAAAAAAAAATGTAGGGGATGTCCTCCAGTGTACTGCCCAGTCACCACCAGGACTCCACTGGATCCACCACTGCACTGAATAAATACACTTCAATATAAAATTATGTCAAATATTGATTAACATTAAGTTTTTCTGCTTAGTGATTTTCTCCCTAGCTCTGCATTACCTGATCCATATCATCTATGAAGTACGATTGATTAATACTCTGGAGAGCACGATCTTTCTTCACCTTTTCTTTTCTGTGTATGGTGCCAGCGTATTCGTTCTTAATCTCAGTCTAATAACATGAATAAAAAATGAAACTTGTCAACAGTATTTACTATACAATTTATCAGTATCTTTCAATAACAGCCATGGGCTTTTAGAAGACAGTTAATGGAACAGTAATTTTTTTTCAACACACTTGCATTTGTTTTTGAAAAAAACAGCACTTTAACACTACAGGGTATTTTACCATGGAAATGTTTAATGTTTTGATTTAAAAAAATGTAAAATAACTTTAAAATTAGGTAAAATATTATATTCAAAATTATATTTTTGTTTCTATAGTGGACAGTTTACAAACAACCAATGTCTAAACATTATAACAAGACTTAGTTTAAAAGTTGTAGAGCATTTTGTGTGTATGTATGTGTTGTTAAAGCAATTCCTACAAAAAACAATATTGATATGGCAATGTTTGTCCAATGTGAAGTAAATAAATGAAAAAAACACATAAGTAAATGAAAAAAACAAATACATAAACAAGTAAGTAAATATGTACATTTTAAAGATTTCTTGGCAATGCCTAGTATATAAATGAAAAAAAACCACATTAATAAATGAAAAAACAAGCAAAAAAAATCTGTATCTCATTCACCGTTCCCCAGTTTTTCGTCAAACAACTTTTTTCTGTCTTAGAAAAATCAGTTCTACAACATATCAAACAATTTTTTTCCTCTGGAGCCTGACTTTAAAATTAGTAAGTAAGTAAATATATACATAAACAAATAATAAAAAAAATCTTTGAATCAGCTCTTTCAGCCCAGTTTATATACAAAAGAATTTCAGAGTATTCATCAAGAAAAGTCACACACTGTTCAATGGGGATGGAATTTACCGACCTGCCTCTCTCTGTTTTGCACAAGAGCATGTTGTACTTTTTGCAGCTGTTCCTTGATTAGGTTTTGGTACATCTGGTTTAACCTGAGACATGATTCAAGGTTTCCAGATTCCTCTTCTTCCATCTCAAGGGCCTCTTCATCCTCATGTAAGTCATCCTCACCTGACTGAGACTAAAGCAAACAAAAACATATTCTCAATAAACAAAGGCGAAAGTGGAGTGGGGACTCCATGATTCAGTGAGGGGGGCAGTTAGGTCGCAAAACAGGGTTATATGGGGTGATTTTTAACTACTTGCATGATTTTCTTGCTTCAAACATTTTCAATGGGTTGGTGACTGTGGGAAGCAAGGTTTATCACCCTCCCCCACGGGATCCAGTCAATTCGAGCGGATGCCAATTCGAGCGAAAGCCATTTCGAGCTGATTCGAGCAGAATTTATTGAGCGGATGCTAGTTCGAGTGGAGAAAAGAATCACTTGTGCGAACAACAGCCTGTGCGATTTATGTACGAATTACTTTAAAGTTTCCTATTTTGAGCTAACAGTCTACATACGGCCGAGGCTCAGGCTTTGCCTGGGAGCCAGGCACTGGCGTATCTAGGGGTGCGTAGGCCCCCAGTCGCCCCCCCCCCCACAAAAGAAATCAATTGCAAGTAGTTAAAAATCACCTAAAATCACCTTATTTTGCGAGTTAGCACCCCTCAACTGATCATCAAACCAAACGATTTCACCTTCGCACCCCCCAATCAGCACCCCCATTTCAAGACTTCTAGATACGCCACTGGAAAAGCCCTGGGACGAAGTCTATAGCTTTATGTATAAAAAATTTGTATTTAATTGATTTACAAGGTTAACAGTTTACAATTAAACATACCTACGTTCATAAAAATAATGTTTAGTCATTGTTATTTTTTCCATATGCTAAGTTTAAAAAAAAAAGTGGGTTTTGAACTATATAGACGAATGGTTGAATAGATACGCCACTGGAAAAGCCCTGGTGGGTTCCAGGGACGAAGTCTATAGCCTTATGTATAAAAAATTTGTATTTAATTGATTTACAAGGTTAACAGTTTACAATTAAACATACCTACGTTCATAAAAATAATGTTTAGTCATTGTTATTTTTTCCATATGCTAAGTTTAAAAAAAAAAGTGGGTTTTGAACTATATAGATGAATGGTTGAATAGTTGAGAAAATTGGTATGATGTTTATTACTGTGCTGTTGATAGTCTTGTCACAGGGGCTGGAAGATCCAGAATTTTTCAAACGGCGGGGTGGGGGCACAACAGTTTCACAATAGTGAAAGTGAGTAGCACATAACATTAATATGCATTGACATTTTAAAAATTTAGTGGCAAGACAAGGGGCACGTGCCTCCCCGTGCCCCCTACACGTCACTGGATCCGCCGCTGTGTCACACTACTACACCAATGATTTGTGCACCTTCTGATACCATATACGTAAAAATAATTTAAATTTCTATGGTGAATAAAAATTACATTTACAGTTACTTCCATTTACAAATAGGCCTATAGGCCTAAATCGTAAATCTACAAATACTGTTACAACACTATATAATTCAACTGACTGGAGACAAAAACCGTGAATTCTACGTGCAAAATTCTATAGTTTTAAAATATAGGGCCTAAGTGCTTTCTAGCGGCCATCTTTTAGTCTGATTTGCCAAGACTGTAATTCAAACATGGAATAATTATCAGAAAGTACCAAAAACATTTCAGAACTTTAGTGCACAGAGCATTTTTTGCATTTAAAACAAACAAATACAAAAATAGGGTGACCATAAATTCGCCCTTGTTGTAGTTCGCACTTGTTGTAGTTCGCACTAAATGCATCCGCTCGAACTGGCATCCGCTCGAACTGGCATCCGCTCGAACTGACATCCGCTCGAACTGACTGGCATCCCCACCTCCCACGTACCCCAGGATACACCACTGAATGTAAAACATGAAAATAAGATGAATAATGTTACCCAGGTAGGTACATCATCTTGAGAAAATCTAGGTTCAGCATGATCTGAAATGATAATAAAATGTCCTGAATGTACAATATTTATATTTTTATAATGCACTATATGACAAAAATTATTTATTTAAATTCATGACAATCAATATAATAATCTTTAAATCAAAACCAGGCCTAGGCCTATTATAATCTTCGAAATTAATTTTACTTTGCAATCAGAATTTTAAATAAATGGTCAAAAAAAACCCCAAAAAACGAGAAAATACTACGCTTAAACATTTAACACTAAATTTTAGACTTAGATTGGAACAGTCCTATGGCCTCCATCGATACGTAGAGGCCACCAGTTTGAATAGTATTAGTAGGCCTAGCCTTATAAATTTAATAAACCGATTGGCTTTGGCTTGGTAGGCTTGGGCCTACTTTAGTAAGGTGGTTGGTACTGTATGTAATTCTGCTTAGACGAATCGTCCTTAGGTTCCGTTAGTTTGACATGAAAAGAAAAGGTCTGCTTCTACATTATGTCAAGAAGAGAATAATAATTCAAAATTCCCCGCGAGTCCCCTACCTTTGGATTTCGCATGAGTATCACCAACCTCACCTCCTGTTGTCAAAGAAGTTTCTGCATCGGCCTGGTGGTGATGTAGGCAATCGCCCTGACTAGAGTCAGTTGACAGTCTAAAGTCACCATCCTGACAATTTAGTATGTCTTGGAGCTGCGAAATCTCTTCTTTTATTTTTTCTACTTCACTCTGTGTGTTGTTTTCCATAATTTGCTCAGATTAAAAACCATGCAACGATAAAACGTTTAGACAACGTTCATCCACTTCCGTCGCCATTGCTTATGCAAATAATCGATGGGTCACAATTTGCATAATTCATTAGGGTCAACCGTATGCGGTCCATGCACACCAATAATTATGCACACTGTATTGTTTTATTTTTTCATTGAAATAATAAAAAAAAGCATATCTTATTTATCTGTGAGCCACTTAATGTCATCAGAATTGAAGAATAGAAACAATTACAGAATATGTTAACTAATATTTGCTCTTTGAATATTTCTGGATACTGTTGAAATAGTTAAAAGTGTTTGATATTTTCTGTAAGACTTACCGTATTAGTAGGCATGGAATTAAATGATCGATCTAAGTTGATTTTCTTTAGGCCTAATTTAGATTTAATTTCAATTGGGCTATTATTATTATTATTATTATTATTATTATTATTATTATTATTATTATTATAAAGAAATGGAGAAAAAAAGAAAATTATATTCAAATTTAAAGTTATGCTCCAGAGGAAAATTAGTTTTGTAGTGTTGTAGAACTGATTTTTCTAAGACACGAAAAGCAGATTTTTCTAAGACACGTAACAGCCCATTTTTACACCTTTTCCCCCCAGTTTTTAAATATTCAAAAATCTGTATCCCATTCACCGTTGCTTAGTTTTTGATCAAACTACTTTTTTCTGTCTTAGAAAAATCAGTTCTACAATAAATCATTTTCCCCCTCCAGAGCCTGACTTTAAAAGAATTAGTAATATCAAAGTAACCCAAACCACTTCTGGCATTGTTACTAGACTTAATAATAATGAGAATTATCAATATATCAGTAATGATAATGAATATTTGTTGCATATGAATGAAGCAGAATCGCCGAATTGAACGTTTCCAATATTTTGATTATGTTGCGTTATTTTTTTTTTTTTCAATCCAGTCAAAATTCCATCATTGTCAAGGTATATCTTTTGTGCTGACGTGCGCCCTCACTTTTCCCAAATTTATGATGCCGAATATTTCCGATTACACACGACAACTTTCCGATTGTCCTTGTGGTGGTTTGGTAATTGACCGCTTGATATTGATAAAATTTACAAATATATTGCGAAGAGGAACATCTTAAGCTAAAAATTGCAGATAAAACTGATAAAAATACAAATAGAAATAAGTAAACATACAAATGCAGACAAAACACAGGTCCAACAGAAACACACAGACAGAACAGAGCAATCAAAAACATAGCCAGACAAAACAGCAAAGAAAAAAACACATAAAAATACATACAGAACACGGAACAAAGGTGAGAAAAAAAGAAAGCACACAAACAAGACAAAAAATAAAAAAACAAAGAAAAAGACAAACAAAGGAATAAAGGAATTAACCCACCCAGGAAATATGCCACTGTTTGGTATTATGGATTAAAGATTGCGATAAGCTGGTTTTGAATGAACTAAGGCTCTGGTGAAAAATATCGATTAACGTAAAATTGTCAGAAAGGTTATTTAAAAAGTTGGCAAGACGATGAATAAAACCATTTTTAGTGCAATTGACTCCGTTAAAGGGAACGAAAAATAAGTCATTACGACGGCCGGAGCGGGTCTACTAATCTTAAGAGGGAATAAAGAACATAAAGTAGTATCAAAAATAGAATTAACACATTTAAAAAGAAAAACCATATCAAATATATTTCTTTAAGTGTGAGGGAAGAGTGTATGAAACAATATCGTCATTTTTTAAATTGTGATTTATAAATATAAAAATTTAGACTGGACTCTCTCAATCCGATGGGCTTGTAAGAACGAAATAGAATTATAAATAACACTGGAATGATCAAAAATAGGTCTAACTATAAAGAAATGTAAAGATGCAACATAGAGCTGTGGGCCAATTACGCATGGTCATGTATTATACTATGTTAAGCGCCCGGGCGCTTATTCGCGCGAGTACGGTAAAGGATAAAGAGTTGAATTCAATTATGCCAGGGTGTTATCATCGAGAGCGGCACCGGTAATTATTATACTAAATTATAGTGCAAGAAAAAGATGTCACAGGCCTATATTATATTTATTGAATCTAAATGATTTTTCAATTATTTGCTATTTTGATAAAATGATATATAATCTGCGACCCTTTCAACCGTGCATATTGATAATGCATTATCATTTTCATTGCTATTAGGCCTATTCAATGTTGTTTTTGACGATTATAAATGTAGCCAAAATGTCTGCATTTCATCGATATCAGTGGTTCAGTTGCAATTATAGGCTAATATCGATTAGGCCTAATATCTAGGCTTGCATGTGTTTTAGAACTTTCTTGTTTAGTTTTTGACGTAGGGCCTATTGTGTTTTATTCGATTCGACATATCGTCATATTTCTTCAAACGGTATATTCTTCACATCTCTTTAACATGTCTGTTGGCAACTTTTTCTGTGTTATTCCCATTGTTGTTATTTTTGTTATTCATTCTGTGTCTTATGTTATGTCTGTAGGACTATTACTTTAATGAATAATTTATTCAGGGAAAAATGATAAGAATACTGTACAGATGAGACCCGAATGTTGCTAACTCGGACCATCCGAATAAACTTAAAAATCGAAAAATATGTAATTCAATTGCTTTCTAAATGTTTTTAAAGATATTATCTTCCAAAAAACTGAAATTTAAACAGGAAGAAGTTTTTATTTACTCTGCCATTAGAGATGTTTATGTAATACCCCTTTTATTATAATACGGTAGTTTGCATTATTTACCCTTGAAATTCTGCCTGCATATTTTCGGAGTAAAATTTTTTCATCATAAATTGATTTTAATTGTTTTGTGATTTTTTTTTAAATTGATAACTTTTCTATAAAAATCTTCTTGTCACCACCATAAACAAAGCTTTACAACAATGGCTTTAATCTATTTTTCTTGACACTGCGGGAACGTAAGCAGGTTGCTGATTTGTGGACGATATTTGTTCCTTCTGTTTTCGTGAATGGATAGCTGACGGAACCCACTTTCATGAACTAAAGAGTGACAGAAAAATATTAATTAGAAAAACTGACAGACTCAATGTATTATATCATCGTCGTCGTCTTCATCTTCATCATCATCATCATCATCATCATCATCATCATCATCATCATCATCATCATCATCATCATCTCATCATCGTCATAATTATCATCAATCATCATCATCGACATTATCGTCTTCGTAGTCATTATCATCATCAGCAGCAGCTGATTGTAAGTCCCTTGGGATTGAACAGAATGCCGGGGGCCAGGAGACCGCCCGACACAACGTGGAGACCGAGGCACGAGTCGCGTGCGACGGATCGTTTTCAACGACGTCAGACGGCGACGGTCACGACAATCTCTCAAAGCGGAAAAGGATCTGAACAAGATACTGCAAGACGAAGAAGGCCTGATCTCTTTCTAAGTTCAAGTATAAGAAATGTCGCACATGCATCACAGTTGTCAACAATCAGTTCAGTTACCTTCGTTTCTCTGCCAAATGCCTTCGGAATAAATATCAGTTAACTTGGTAGATAGTCTACCTTGTTGTCTTCTTAATGGTTCAACTTCATTGGCGATAAGCAGAAGATCTCGACGTACATCCAAACAGAGATACGCTGATTCTGCAGTCATCAAGACTTCGTCTATTATTGCGTGCGGGCTCTTGCCTAAAAGCAACTGTGACTCTGTAAATTTAACTAATAATTCTTTTGTATTATTATAACGTTTAGTTTTTTCGTCCAGAATGGGTTCGCGTAGATGATGTTTAGACACATCGCTTGTGTTCTCCCGAAACGTGTTGTCACAGGGCACACCTATGTTTACCTCGAGTTGTTCTTGGTATTTCTTGTCCCAAGACTGTTTTCTCATTTCTCATAAAATGGTCTCAACGTAATGAATGAGCACAAGTTTTTTAAACACGTGTTTATATTATTGGGCAAATGTAACTTTTAAAAAAGAGATGCGTGGATTCGTTTGTGCGCTTTAGCTAATTCGACATCGCACGCGTTTAAATCATGGGTTTGCAACGTCGACAAATTTTGAAGAGAGAACACATCCCGATGATCCAAAGTTCAAATTTAGAACTAAACTATCCTATACAAATCTCCAGGGGAGAAAAAGGAAAATGATGATATTCTGTAGATTTCCGTGTCAGCCTCAGTCTAAATGATATTTAGAATATTTATAATGACAAACAAGCTCGTAATTGTTTTGAATACTTCATCTACATTGTGAAATTTACCTTTTAAATATTATTTAAAATCAGTTATGCATCTTGACATCACATATATTTTCGATTCGACCGTCATTTATATATCGTAATATTGTACTCTTCTTACTTTTCAAAAAGAAACAAAAATTCGGTTTTTAAGCTCCACCAATAATAGCCTGGTTGTAAAACTGCTGAAATGAACTTTAGCGGGAAAAAAGTAAAGGAAAATTAATTTTTGGTTTTTCTGAATCAGTATACCCTATAGTGTCTCAGAAAAAAAATCCCCATGCCTAGGGCTTGGGCAATTTTTTTTACAGCACTTTGAAATTTTGGCCTAAAATACCCTATTTTAAACTTTTTAAGATGGGGGTAGGGGAAATAAATTTATGTTTTTGGTCACTTTTACATATACTGTGGTTATGAAATGTAACAACAACTTGGCTATATAGTTACTCATCACTCTCATTTAAAAACTTGATCGGAATGATGACGTCATCATGACAAATTCCAATATGGCGTCCATTATGGTGGGAAAAACTATGTTTTTTAATGTAAAAATAATTTTATTGTTATCAAAGAAATACAATCTCGATACAATATTATACATACAGTACAGCAATAAAAAAAAAACATATAGGCCCTATATATAATTAATGAACTAATACAAAGTTAACCCAACGAAAAAACGAAATAGTGAAATTTCCCTTTAAAATACCAATTTTTGGATCGGGGTATGGGAGACATGTTTATGTTTTTAGTCACTTTTAGAGGTTTTTAGTCACTTTTAGGGGTTTTTTTTTCTATACCTGTGAAAACTGACAGACCTTAGTTAAATACTTACCCATTATTATAGTCGTTCAGTGGCGGCCCCAGGGGAGTCTGATAGGGTGGGTCCAAACACAGGGCCGACTAGACCCTCGGACAGAGTCCCGGAATAAACGTCCCTGGGATAGTTTTTTTTAGCTTAGTATGGCCCAAAATTTTGCTTTTAAGCAAAAATATTAGGGATTGGCAATCAAAATAATGTTATAAGGATAAGCAAATCTTTATTTGTGGTGTGGCGACCTTGTCGTGGCATCGGACGAAGGGAGTCTAGGCCTGTCTGATGGGAATTCTCCACCTCCCAAACAAATTTGGAATGATGACGTCAACACACCGAA